AGTAAACTGTTTTTATTATTTGGTTAAAGTGATGCAAGATTTTTATTTGCTTTGTGTAAGCTTTGAAAGCTCATTAAATATTGAGCCAGTTCATTTATAATCAGCTTGACATAATGCCTTGCCTGTAAGGCTTGAATAAATCAAAAGTTTTATGCTGGAAAATGATTACATTTTTACAACAATCTCTTTGAAGCTCATTTAATTTTTGACTCCGCTCATTTTGATTAAATGTTGCACATCTGGCGTGAAAACCTAAAAGAGAATCAAATTTGTTAGCTTTTAAACTGAAAACTTTACAATGATATATTCTCATAAATAAAGCTTTGAAAGTTCATTAATTTCGTAAAATCAACTGCTTTTGTACACAACCTTAGAGAAGGAAGGCCAGAAGATGCAAAGAGAGCGAAGGAGAGGGAGAGAGATTAAGAGAGAGAGAGAGAGAGAGTAAGAGATTGAAAGAGAAAGAGAATTATTTACATACAAGTAAAGCTTAAAGCATAATAATGATAATACTTCCGTATATTTAGGCCTTAGAGTAACAAGCTCCACGAATTCTTATTGAATCATTAATTCTTATCGAGTTTTCTTATATGAAAGATCCAGGCGTTTCCGGGCTCTCTTCTTGCAGTACAGAGAAAACTCAGACAATATTTTATTTGGCTTCTTGCTGTAACTTTATCAGTTAGGCTCAGTTAATAAAGTCACAACTATGTGACATTTCTTGTAATATCACTTACAATTTCTCCACCCACAATTGAAGGCATTCGCAGTTCGCAGTTGACAAGAGACTGCCAAGTGCTACGGCACTCACTTCAGCTTGATCTCTAATTGCACTCTTGAAAGTCAACTCCAATGCAGCGAAGCGTTAAGAAATCTACAGTTCCCTTTTATTTTTAATGCATTTATTTATATTTATATGTATGTATCTATAGCTTACGTGGGACCACCCGGCAACTAGAGTTGGATAGTGGCTGGTGACTAGTGTCCAGCGACCGAGTTTTTGACTTTGCTTTTCTTTCTTTTTTTTTTTTTAATTACATTATATGCATAATAAAGGCCTCTCAGCTGGAGCCCCAAAGAGATTGCGACTGCGAGTGCAAGCAAAAATAATTACAGACACTGAACGCCAAGAGTTAGCGATGTAATCAGCATAAAGTCGAGCTGAATTGCTGCAGCGGCTTAAGCTTGGTAATGGAATATGATGCAAACAGAGATACCCTGTAAAATGGCAAGCTAGAAGTATATAATATAGATAAAATTTAGATGAAATATAGAAAAAATATATTTAAAATGTAGATTTATATATAATTTAAATACAATATTTAAGGAAATTGAGACGAAATATAGAGAATAAATAATTAAAATGAAGTTAGAGTATAGATAAATATTAATTAAATATAGATGAATACAGATCAAATATAGTTAAAATATTGGGAAATATATAGATAGATGTGAAATAAATTGTTTCATATGATTCGATAGTTTATGGTAGAATTTATTTTTTTAAATCAAGCTTATATAATTTTTCTAAACTAGTATTTTTTAATAAATTAAATGAAGAGTAGGCTAATATATAAAAAAATATTGTTATATTTTAATATGTTTGTTAATTTTAAAGTTTTAAAATATATTTTTCCAAAATAATTCCAAACAATATAACAATTGGATTCTTTGAACAGTTTGCCTATAGAAATTATGCTACAAATATTAAGCCGATTATGAATGAAATACAAATTTCAAATCCATCTATTCTCAATCTAAGGCGCTTCATTTATAGCTTTTATAAATAATAAACTAAATAATAGTAAATAAAACTATCCCATAACTTAATTTACCCAACTTGCACAGGCAATACGAAGTATGCACAGAAGTTGCTAAAAAAAAAAAAGTTGATTCAAGCGCCGAGCGCTCGCCAGGGAGCAGGCAGAACTGCGACCAAAGGCGGAGGTGACGGACAGTTGGCCAAAAAAGAAAAAAAAAAACGGAATAAACAAGAAGCAAAGAAGAGGGAGAGAAAAAAAAACTGTGAATGGCCGCCCTATGCAATGAGCGCGAAAATGAGTGACGTACAAGCAGCGCTGCTGCGCCGCGCCGCCCAGTGGCTGCCCCTCCATCCGTCCGTCCTTCCGTTTGTCCGCCCGTTTGCTTGGCCTACCCAAATGGTTTCCCTTGACAGGCGCAATAATTGTGCAGATTCTTTCTGTGGCTGACTTATTTTATTTTATTTCTTGCTGTTGTGGCTCTGGCCTGACAGGGCGACACATTAATGTGCCAGCTAGCAGTTGATGACGAAGATGATGGTGATGATGATGACGATGAAGGTGATAATCATAACGAAGTTGGGGTATTCTATTTGGGCATGGCGCACGGAGCGTATGATTGACGCGCTTAATTAAAGAAGCTAGCGCATATAAAGCGCAGCGTTAATTAATTAAATTACAATTGATGCAGTTGCAGCTGACTCTTGTTTTTTGTTGTTGTTGTTGTTGTGCTTATCATTGTTTGGACTCTGCCAGGCCATAAATACATATAAATATTACTATATCTATATATGTATATATAAATACGTATGTGTATATACATATATCTATATATTTCTGTATTATCACAGTGCTCATAGCGTTAATTTCACAACTTATCAATCCGTAGGCTATCGATTCGTCGAAGACGAATCGTCGAAGAAGAAGAATCGCACAGAAATTCGCTCGATTTCTCATTTCATATTTACTCAACCTGAATTTAACTTTCGTTTAACAAAACATTTGACATCCACGATGACAAAGCAAATTGAAAGAAACACAAAAGGGGAAACACCTGTAGGTATATTGTGAAATTTGTGATATATATGTACATATGTATGTATTATATATGTACATGTATATAAAGATCAATATGTGTGCATAAGATTTGTTAATAAAGTTAAATATTTTAATATTGTATGAGCAGAAATCTTGGAGGCAATTTAATTAATCTATTAAAATTGTAATTATTAAAATGTAAATAGAAATGAAGTTTTTATAAGAGATTGCATAAAAAATATATTTTATATTGAATTAATATCAAAATGATTAAGATGAAACGATGCTCTTTATAAATGTACACATAATAAGCAAGTAATAAAATTGCTGTCGGGCGTTATTGACTTTAGAATACTCATCTATACACACGAACCAAGCGCTAAGCGGTTGGGTATAATATATACTATATATACTATATACTATATATATTATATATATTTTTATTCAAATCAATAGAGCAGTAAAGCTATACAAAGCTGTGCAAAATATAATTTACCCCGATTTGCCACACCCCCAATATTATATGGAAATATTTATAATGTTGACCTATTGTTGTCTTCGCAATTGTACAAATATTGATTCTCTAGCACTTAAATTAATCATGGTGGAAAATGCATTTTTCCGATTCGCCACGCCCCTAGTGGGCGAGGGTATACACGAGTATATGTTCCAAATTTCAAGTTTCTAGCTTCAATAGCGATGAAATGGGTAGACGTACAGACGGACGGAGAGCAAGCCGCACATTGCACAAAGCCAATATACTCATTTCGGTTTCGCGAATGAGTGTTAAATTTATTTTAATAGTTCCCATACTGAAAATATATTTTTATAGCTGCTACGCTCCAATTAAAAATTTCCGCCATAATAATTCCAAATTATAATGAAAAATGCAAACAAGAATTTCAGTTTTTTTGCAAATGGTCTTTACGTAAATAAAAAGCAAATAATGTGCCACACTTTGGGCGCACAAAGTAAACAATTAATCACGTAACCAAATACATGCGAAAAATAAATAATAAAAAAAGGAAAGCCAAAACAAAACAAAATGTACAAAAAGGCAAAGAATTTTAAAGACAAAAAGCAGCCATGACAACGCCAGCGGCAACAAGAACTGTAAGGAGAAGAAGAAGAAGTAGAATATGATGAGGACGAACAACCACAATATTAATATGACAAATGCTTATGACGCTGATAACCACTTGAATGGCGCAGACAGCGACAAGACCAAAAACTGAGCTCTGGGCTCTGGGCTCTGGGTGGATCTGTTTGAGGCATTTGGGCCGAGTTGCGGTTCCGGGCTGAAGCAAGCAAAGCTGACAGCATTAATTTCACTCACGTTGCGGTGGGCGTGACAACGTGTGGGTGACGGCTGCACCGGGTGCTGCTAAAGATTTTCACGCCAAATAATTTGCCTAAGTCAGCGGGCGGACAGCAACTGTATTTAACCTGAAAAAAATTATATAAGTATATATGTATTTATATATTATTTCGTGGTAATTGCAAATGCATAAATACTTCCCAAAATTGGCATTGTAATTATGGGTATTTAAAGAAGAACTCTAAGAAGTCATATAAATATGCCTCTAGAGCAAACTGTAAGCCTCTCTAGGCGATTCACAAGAATGAGTCTATTTTTTTTGACAGGTATGCTTAAAAAAAATTCCCGGTATATAATTTTAAGGAGTTTACCTTAGGCATCAAACAATGGATGGGCTGCTCTATACAATTCGCAATGTCTTATAAAGCTCAAAAAAAAAAAAAAAAAAAAAAAAAAAAATTATATATTGCTATTATATATTAATAAAATATAAAAAAAATTATATATTATTAAAAAAATTTTAAGCTATAATTTCGTTTAGAAGTTGAGTTTACAATAAATCTACATAAACATAAACTAAATATACACATAAAGGAATATACCCCAAGAGATAACTTTATATTTTATGTGCAAATCAAAATGTTCGCCTCTCTATGCAATTCACAAAATGCAAATGCCTTTGATAATATGGCGTTGTAATCGAGTCAGCACATTAACTCGTGATTGAGGCCTATTTGCAAGACATTTGCATGCTGCCTAAAGCGTGTGTGGGGCAAAGTCAAGAATTAGGGCCAAGGTCAAAACTTTTCCAAAATCAAATATTAAAAAAAAGGCTATAAAATCGTCTACTAATCGACTATTCTTTGTTTTCTGCTCTTTCGCAGGCTTAGCCCAGGTGACTTACCAGATCATTGGGCCTCAGGTACAGCAACAACAAAAGGAACAAACGCAGCAGCTCTCGCTGGCAACAACAACAAGCACAACAGCAACAACAACCACAGCAGCAACATCAGCAGCAGCAGCAGCAATAGCAACAGCAACCACTCAGTTTGCAATCTGCCGCGCTCATCACCGGCCGCTGCGACCGCAGCCGTTACAATCGCAGCCACTGGCGGTAGCGTGGTAACTGGCCCCGGCCCCCTCCCGGCACCAGTGGCGCAGCTGCAGCACGGATTGGCGCCCAGCACGCCACTGCAGCGCGCAACGGCAGCGGGTGGCGGAGGCGCTGGTGTTGCAGGCGCCACGACCTCACCCACAGCCCCCTCACCCTCGCCAGCAGCAGTTGCCAACAATCTGCTCACCCTGCAGCAACAGCAGCAGCAACTGCTCTACCAGCAGCAACATCATCCACAACACCAGCAGCACCCGCAGCAGCCGCAGCTCAACTCTCATCATTCGCATCATAGCAAAACAGCGGCAGCTGCCGCCGCAACGGCGCACATTGCAGCTGCATTGCAGCGATCGGCCATTATGAACGCGGTGGCATCGCCGATTCCTGCCAACTCTGCGACGCCGGGTCGCAAAATACGTCGCAAGACGGATACCAAAATTAATTTGGTAAGTATTAAGCACTACAAAATAAACTATAATGTTATATCTGAATAATAAATATCTGAAAGTATGAACCCTAAAGCTACACTTAAAAAAGCTGCAAAAATTTTTACATTTTTATTTTCCATTTTTTAAATTCTCGCTATAAATTCAGAAGAAAATGTTTCAAAACGAGTATTAATATAAAATAAAAGTCCTATTTAAGTCTAGGAAGCTTCAAAGCCAAATTCAAAATATTAGCAGTCTTAAAGAAAAAGCCCTTTCTCAAGTCAGTTATAATAATAATTTAATAAAATAATATTTTTTCTATTATTTTGTCTATTGTTATTTAGTTCCCTCATTAATTTAGCAACTTTAAAATTGCTTTTGAGTTTATTAAAGCTTTATAAGATGTATATGATGTTTTTATATAACTTAAAGTCTGAATAGAAAATGACTGAATTATGAATTTCAGGGCATACAGTTTTATTAATCTAGCAGCACTTTCATTAGTCTTTCATGAAATTTAATGCAAAGCTTAATTCAGCTGAAGAGAAATATCTAGCAGAACTCAAGTATTTTTTTTCCAAGTATACTATTAGTAAAACAAAGATTTAGCAGAAATTCAGCTGCAATATAAACGTTGTTATTATTTGAAAAAAAAAAAAAACAGTTAATATTTATTTATTTTATTTATTTTGACCTTACAGTTTGGAAAGCTACTACTTATCTATCTTAAAATATCTAAAAAATTCAGCATACCCATTTATGATTATTATCATACAAAGCTTTCATAGCTTTTGTTATCAACTATATAAAGAAAGGGTTTAGTCTTGAATAATTCTACATGTAATCTGCGCGCTTTTATTATTCTTTGTCTAAAATAATCGTTGCTGAAGAAACTCTTTATATCAAGTGCAATCGCTATACATATATGTATGTATATAGACATATTGAATATAATTTTATAAATATATGTAGACAGTACTTTTAGAGGAGCTTTAAATAAAAATGATTTAAGCTTTTAAAAACTTGTGTAAATACAAAGATTAATCGAAACGTTTTCAGTTCATGTCAATAGATAAAGTTTTTGCATAAATAATTATAATAAATAATATAAACTAAATAATAATAGAATACAGCTCTTTAATTAACCCCTAAAAGTTACTTTAAACAAATTGAAATATTTGTTTTTACAGCCACAATCACAAATAAACAAATGCAACAATGAGAAGCGACGTCGGGAAATGGAAAACAATTACATTGAGCAGCTCTCCGAATTTCTGCAGCTCAATAAACGTGGAGATATGACATCAACGAAACCGGATAAGGCGGCAATATTAAATCAAGTGGTTCGAACGGTAAGTCAAACTCAAGAAGATGGCTTCAATTCGCAGGGCTATTATGCAAAACTAATAACGGCAACAACAACAACAACTTCGACAATCAATCAAAAAACTCATCAAACAAAACTAATAAGCAAAATGTTGAACAAGTTGTCGTGGAGCAAGCGACGTGAACCCTGGGCCTCTGACCGGAATAACTAATGATCAATTAGGATAGACAAATCCCCAATGTAATTTCTATGCACTTCTGTTGCTGTTGTTGTTCTTGTCTTTTGCTATTTTGGCGACACCCGCGTTTCAATTAAAAAGCAATTATTTTCAAACCGCAAAGAAGATTAAAATAATAATACGCATGAAACACGGCCACTGAGAGAGCTAGATAGACACAGAGGCAGAGCGACAGGGAGAGACGGAGAGAAAAAGAGAGGGCAGCTATGGAGCCCATAGAGACTTTTCGACTGACGTAATTTTATATTACTTTGTTTTTATACTCATTCACGAAAATGAAATGAGTATATTGGTTTCGTGCAATGTCGCCCTTTCCGTTCGTCCTGCCGTCTGTCCGAATTGAAGCTAAAGACTATGAATACCTTCGATAAACTATGATCAAAAAAATATATGGTGGGTAAGTCTATGCCCCATGGGGGCGTGGTAAATCGGGAAAAACTGCAGTTAGAAATTCGAGAGATCGTAAAATGAATTAGGCACCGTTTGGGCCGTGAATGAGTAATCTGCAGTCGGTAATACCCGACTACAACGTTCTTATTTGTTCTTTTTTATTTTTTTGCCTTTTTGCATTTTGCTGGTCTGCAAGAGGAATTTAATTAATATTTTTATTCAATTTACATAAATTTATTTATGTTTCCATTGACAGCGATACGCGGTTCATTCTCGTCATGTTATTTTAGGCTTGTGCTTTTGCTCTCTCTCTCTCTCTCTCTCTCGCTCTCCCTGCGTATGTGTGTGTGTGTATTTCTTTTATTGGTTTCAGGTAGCCTAAGCACTTTATTATGCAAATCATAAGCGCCACGCTTTGCCGAACTTCAAAAACAAAATTCAACGAAAAAAGAAAACAAAAAAAAAAAAAGGCAAAAAACAACAAAGTTAAACAAAATACATAATACATAATAATTTTATTTAACTGTGCAGCTTGTAAGCTAAGCACAAGTTAAAGCAATTAATAGGAGTTAGCATATGGCTGGCTACCAATTAAGGGTATTCCCTCTACAAAGTGACAAATTAATAATAAATAAATTCAATTAAATGTCGCTCTGGTGCGGAAGCTATATGAGCTAAGCTAATTTGAAATTATTAAGGTAGCCAGCTAAATAAATATTGAATTAATTTAGTTAGGCAATTATGAGCATTCATTATTTAACATAATTAAACTGAAAAGCTTTTAGTCAAGTAAATAACTATAAAATATTTACTATGTAGATGGGATGAGGTTTTAGCTTCTGATTTAAATATACATAATTAATTTAAATTTTTTGTCAGGTTTTATTTAACTTCTTTGAGTTCTACACATTTGCTTGAATTTTTCAATTTAATTTTTGTAAAATATTTACCAATGAATTGTAAAAATTGTACATTTGCTTAAATGTTTACACTTTAATATTATTATAAAATATTTACCAAGTAGTATACTACACATCTTGTGGTTTTATCTAAAGTTTGAGTGCTTCCATTGTAACTCAAGCTCTAAAGATTTGCTTAAATAATTCACATGAAATCTTAAGCTTTAACCTTCACATATATTGCCAGCGAAAGCTTTTACACTCCGCTTACAACTATTCGGAAAGCCATTGCATATTCTGAGCTACTTCAACGCCGACCTCTAGTCTCAGTTGCTTTTCTGTTTTGTTCGCCTATTTCGCCCGACTGTGGCTTAAGTTCGGCTCAGTAGCGCATGGAGAGCTGAAAGCGCTGCTTGCGCCCGGGCTTAGTCAGTTGAATTGTCGCTGCTGTCACTCAGCGAGCCATTTTTACTCAGCTGCTAGCCGAGAGTGAGTGAGAACGTAAATGCGAGAGTGCGTGTGCGTGAGTGAGTAAATGTGTGTGAGTGTAAGTGTGAGGCTCAATTCAATTCTATACCATTTTTTGGCAACTTGAGAGTGTGGTAACTGCGTTCCACCTAGAACTTGCTGGAAAACATTGTTATAGAGCTTATAGCTATAGCACTTAAAAGTGAGCTATCAAATATTATTATTATTTTTTAAGAATCATTTCTGCAAGTTTATCATTTGAGCACAGTTGGATGTTCATTAATTTCGGATTGCTGGCGACACTTCCCTCATCCATCCACTATTTTATTTTTATTGTGAAAACGAGACGCTCTCATTGTTTTCCCATACGCAGATGGTATTTACCCCTTTTATTGTGTTGGGATCTGTTTCAGCTTTTGGTTTGCTTTCTGTTGTTGTGTTTGTCTGCTTTGCTTCGCATCTGCGTTTTTTTTTTCCCCCGAAGCTCTCTCAAAATTCGCACATTACCTGATGCGATCAATTGAAGCTACAGGCCAAAGCCCGCAAAAAAAAAAAAAACGCACACTCGTGCATATAAAGAACAAAAAGTCCAGACACGTTTTAGACATATTCGTCATTGCATGCCCCGGTTTATGTTGTTCTTGTTGTTGTTTATTTTATCATTTGACTGATATTTTCGGAGTGCCTTCACCCCGAAAAAAAAAAGAATTTTTTGTGTGCCCGTTGCTTGAGCAACTTTTCCTGGTTGGCTGGCGCACACAAACATAAAGACTTATACACACACGCAGGCGTATACAATTGTACTCACTGACACAGATGCGAGCTTCCTTCCAAACAAAAAGAAGTAAAAGCTCGCTCTGCGCTCTGCGCGATTGCACTGGCAGATCAACGAACTGCGTTTGTTTTTTGGCGATGACGTCGCACTTCGCACTTCGCAATTTCATATTTCTTTTTGTTATTGTTTATTTGTGTGCAACAGTAAGAGCAGCTAAAATAGCAACAAGAACAAGAACAACAATAACAATAACAATAGCAGCAGCAGTAGCAACAGCAAGCAGCAGTGGCAGCGTCAGCGCCAGTTTCTTCGCCGCCCTCTCACACAAGGTGCAAAGGCAATGGGTGATAACAAAACACACACGCACACGTTCACACACATACTGGCATACAGCCACTGTCATACAAACACATTTACGCTTTCGTACGTATCACACGTGAGCCGGTAAACAAATGTCTGGAGAGGAACAACAGCAGCAGCACACATATGTAGCGTGAGAGCGTCAGATAGAGAGCAGCGCTTCGTCAGCTTTTGCCTTCTTTGTTGTAGTATTCGTATATTTTTGCCGTGTTTTCGGGTTTCTGCTTCTTCTTTTTCTCTTTTTATTTTTTTTAATACAATAATACAATTGCATCAAAAAATTTGTGTTTAGTATTTCGGCAACTTTGTGACAGTGCTGAGTGTGCGCAACGTTTCTGTGATTTTTAATTGCTTTTGCTTTTCTCGTTCACATTTCTGATAGTGAGTAATTCGGCACTAAATCTAAACTACTTTATTTACACGCACATGTAAATATGTATGTAAATGCAATACAATAAAAGTGAGTGAGTGGATAGAGCCATTGACATGCGTCGTTCAAGTTGATTGACCTTGAGTGTGCTGTGAAAATTGTGAAATTTCAATGCGTTCGAACTGCGTCTTATGACTTTTCAAAGCAAACAATAATAACAACAATATTATTGCGCTTTCATTGGGAGTTCTCTTGTTGACTTTTGTTGTGATTATGCTGTGCTTGCATTCGCGCATGTGTATGTGCGTATCTGTGTGTGAGTGTTTCGCCTGTGTCAATGACTCAAAGCTCAAACGCGCGCGCAAAAATTTGCGTGGCGAAGTAAAAATATAATACACACACATACACGCATATCTATGAGCACACACTTGCAGAGTGAAGAAATGAGATGAAATGCGGTTTATTGCACTTCATTGTGTAAACACGCTGAGAGCGTGCGACGCCGACGCACGATGACCATACGAGCTTTTGGCTCGCTCTCCTTTTCTACTACTCGCGCCAGAAAGCTTTGCGCAAACAAAAACAACAGCAAGTGATGGAACTGCTGTTGATCGCGAAGCAGGCTATAATAATTATTTTGAGTGTAGCTCAATTTTTTTATTGTACTGTTGTTCCGTTGTGTTTTTGGTGTTTTTTTTTTTTTGTTTTTTTTTTTTTTTTTTTGCGTTTTTGCTGTAGTACATAAAATGAGCTTTGTCGAAAATACTTCCGCATGGTAAACATTTAACTTGAAAATAGAGTTGCAGGCGCGCTGAGTGAATGTGAATTTAAAAATAATAATTAATTAAAAAATATCTTTTAAATGAATATTTGATTCATACATATAAATGTGAATAAATATATCAAATATATTAGGTATATATTAATACAAGTACAATTTAATTAAATACTTTTTTATACAAAAAATTTGAAAACCATTAACCATTTAAATAAATATTATAATAAAAATTATTTTAAAATAACTTGAAATATTATTTGTGAAATATAATTTCATAACTTATGATCGATATTTAAATAATTAAATTTAAAAGCAAACCATTTAAGAACAGGTTTAATTCAAATTGTTTTCTCTTATCATAATTTACAGTATCGTGATATTTGTGACAAAGGCCAAAGCCGTGATATATCCTCAACATCTACCAATAATAACAACAACAACTCCACAACAACGACCAACAACAATAACAATAATAATAACAATAACAATAATAATACTAATAACAACAACAACAACAACAACAATAGCCACAAACCACAAGCAACCTCAACGCGCTGCCCACGCTGCGCCACCGACAACTGCTCGATACACCCTGTGCAACAGGGCGAAGTCTCATCAACAGAGCCACCATTGCCAGAGCCATCGCTGCTGAACGGTCAAGTGCCTGAAATATCCGCTTACTTTGAAGCGCTCGAGCATTACATTAGCTCCGTCGGCTGGGTGCTGCTGCAGGTGAACGCTAACGGCATCATTGAGTCCTGCACGCAGAACATACGCGAACTGATCGGCTATGAGAAGCAGGAGCTCTTCCACCAGCCTCTCTACCGATACCTCTATGCGGGGGATCACGCCAAACTGGAGCCGATCATAAACAACATGTACAGCAGCAGCAGTGGCAGCGGTGGAGGCGGAGGTGGAGGTGGAGGTGGAGGAGGCGGTGGCGGTGGCGGTGGCGGTGGCGGTGGTGTAGGCACGGGAGCTGGCTCAATTGGCGGCTGGGGTGATCTCGATGAGCTGAACAATGGCAATGCGTCACAGCAATCGGCTGGTTCCAATTCCAGTTCCAGTGCTGGCAACGGCGCTGGCACGGGACCAGGCGCCAACATCGGTGGAGCATCCAAATCGAAGCGCAGCATCTCCACCAAGGTGCGCATGCTAGTCAAGGATACACGACCGGCCACACAGACCTCCTCCAACTGCGATGCCATGGACCAGAAGCCGCTCAGGCCGTCCGGACACCAGGACAAGTATGAAGAGGTCGTATTGATAGCGGCGCCAGTGAAGGGTGAGTCCTTGAGAGCAATGGCAAGTCTAGGTTTGGGTATTGTTTTAATGCAGAATGATTTTGAAGAAACGACAGATTAGTAATATTAGAGGGGAGATATAAAGAGGTAATAAAATAGAAGTGTGAATATTCCAGTAATTAAAAATAAATAATGGGTATAAGAACAAGAGATCTCCCTTTTCCAATATTTATTTTAGTTATATTAAACGATATATGAGGCAAGAAAAACACAATTTGTAAGAGATCCAGCAAATAAAAGGGTAGGTAAAATGATCTAGTAACGTTTCTTAAAGCTAAACTCAATGGGGAAAAATGAGAAAGTATTTAGAAAAACTTATAAACGAATAAAACATATAAAAGAATCATACGGAAAACATAGAAATCGACTTGCCGCGACAGTTAAAAAATTATGTAGGAAAGAAACGATTAAGCACAAACCTTTCCATATATCATCGTAAATATCATACATAATTAATTAATTACTTAATTATTAGGGATACAAAGATGAGATGATAATGTGGAATAAATAGAAATATCATTTATCTGGATATATCTTCCACTTTTCTGAAATATAAATGAGGGTAACTGCGAAAATAATTGGAAATTATTCAATTCAACAATAAATCTATTTATGACTAGAGCCAAATACATAAAACATTTATTTTATGAAGATGCAGAGATAAAGATAATAGAATACAACTAGCTCTACTTTCTGTCTGCATACATTTCTTGCAAAATTGATTAATATTGATATAAAATTAATGTTGTCTTATAGAGTATGTCTATATATGATATAGTTATTCAAATAATACAAAATTTCTCAAAGAAATAAGTTTTCTAATTTATTCAAGAAAGGCAGGAAAGGAGCAACAAATAAATAAACTTATATGAAATATAGGAAATATGGAAATAGAGTATACTCAGACTATTCGAACTTCTGAGTTTTAAAGTGCAGTAAACAAGAAATAAGGAAAGAAGAAGTAGAAGTAGTAGGCGAAATTATGTCAATAAAATGATCTTCAATGCATTTCAGTTAAAGCAATACCTAAAACTGGGTTATGGTTCGTTTCATAGATCAGAATTGGACAATTGAACTAAACTTGTTACATTTGCAGATGACGCCGATGCGAGCAGCTCAGTGCTGTGCCTGATCACCAGGCCGGAGGACGAGTCGCCGCTGGAGATCAATATGCAGCAGCATGTGCATCAGCAGCCCATCGAGCAGATGACCTTCAAGCTGGACGGGCATGGGAAAATACTCAGCCTGGACGCGACGGCGCTGCGTGAGCCATTCAAACAGCATCTGCAGTCGTGGGTGGGTCGCCTCTGGCAGGATCTATGCCATCCGCACGATCTATCGACGCTCAAATCGCATTTGCGCGATATTCAAGACTCGACGGCGGTGCGTTCGCCGGGCAGCTCGGTGGGTGGTCCCGCCAGCGGTGGCTCCATATCGAATGTTATATCACGTCCATTTCGGCTGCGCCTCGGTGCGCCCGATGTCTATGTGCATGTGAAGGCCAATTCGAGACTGTTTCTCAATCAGACGCCGGGCGAGAGTGATTTCATAATGTCCGTGCAGACGCTGCTCAATTCGGAGAACGATATGAATTGCAATAATACGGGAGTGGGCGGCAGTGGTGGTGGTGTTGGTTTAGGTCTGAGTCAAATGTGCGCCATGTCGCCGGGCGCCTCGCTGGCCAGTTCGCTGGTGAATACGCTCTCGATGGAAGCGCTGGGGCATAGCTCCTCCACATCCTCGGCGGCGTCTGCGCTGTTGCCCACGAATCTGTTGGGCGGCCTTGTTGGCGGTGGACAGCACAACAACAACAACAGCAGCAACAACAACAACAACAACAACGGCAGCAGCAGCAACAACAATGGCAGCAACACACAAACCACAAATGTGGGCGGACCGCTCATGACCTCGGCCATCATCAATGGCAGCGGCATGCAGCAGCGTCTGAGCAATGCCAGCGGCTCCTCGGCCAACTCGTCGGCGGCAACGTTGGTGAATGCGTTCACCGCATCGCCGGCGCCCGGGGAGCATTCGTTTTATGGCAGCGATGCGTTTGAGTTTGATATTGCACATTCCTCGTTCGACATGGATCCCAGCGGTGGGGTGGGCGGCTGGTCCGATTCGCGTCCCAATTCGCGGGCATCTGTTGCGACGCCCGTGAGTACGCCGCGTCCGCCCTCGGGGCATGGCTTCAGTCCGGCCGTATGCGCCTCGCCAGCGACGCCCTACCAATTGTCGTCCCATTCGGCAGCCAGTTTGCCCTCGCCGCAATCGAATGCAAGCGCCGGGGCCGGCGGCAGTTACGGTTTCAATTTTCACTCCTACGATCCGGCGGACACCAAGCCGGACAAAGAGCAACAGCAGCAGCAGCAGCAGCAGCAAGGCAGCAGCAGCACCAATGCCAGCAACAGCAACAACAATGCGCTCATAGGCGGCGGTCTGCCGAATGGCGTTGGGGGTTTGCTGCTCAGCCAACAGCAACAACAGCAGCAGCAGCAGCAACAACAACAGCAGCAACAAACACTTCCGCAAGAATCATCGGAGCGACTGCGTCATCTGCTAACCAAATCAGCCAGTGGCCTGGGCGGCGGTGGCCTTGGTGATGATGAAAAGGTGAGTACTTCATCTGTTATTCATTGAATATTCAATAATTCAATTCACATTCAATTCACATTCAATCATTGCAGCGCGTTGCACTCATATTGATCTTTCAATTTTTTCGAAACACCTGTTAGTTACTATCAATCAATCTATATGAATATTAAGGAAAGACTGAAAAAAGCGTTCGAACTAATATCCCAAATTGCTATCTGATACTTAATAGTATCATATTCTAACCAAAGAAAACAAGTAAGAAGGCTCCAGTCGAGACTGCTCGACTGGGAGATACCCTGAACCCTCCAAGCTGATATTCTAATCATTCTGCACTTCTTTTACATACATACACATCCACTTATAGGCACGCGCTCTGCTAACTGCGCAGTCAGCAGTGATTTATTTGTTGAATAATTTCTTTTGTAGACATACAATCTTTATGAAACTTTTAGAGCGTAATCATATGGTTAAAATGTGTGTACATTCCAAAGCACAAGTCTCTAGTACTTGAAATGCGTTTTTTATAAATTGGGGGCGAAGGGGGCGTGGTATCCAAAATCTGTAAATTACAAAATCTTTGTGTCCATTAACTCTATATACAACGCAAATTTGAAGTCTCCAGGTTTAAAAGTGTTCAAACTAGGCTGAAAAAACCAAGTCGATTTTTCGATTATTCTCGATAAAAATGTTATCGGACGAGTTATCGAAAAAATAAAGCAAACTCGTACTGCCTATGGTATACACGAGTATGCATGCCAAATTTCAGCTCTCTAGCTCTTATATCTTCTGAGATCCTTTTGCTCATACGGACGGACGGACGGACGGACGGACGGACGGACGGACAGACGGACAGGGCTATATCGACTCAGCTCGTCGTCCTGATCAAGAATATATATACTTTATGGGGTCTGCGATGATTCCTTCTGCCTGTTACATACTTTTCACAAAACCATTATACCCTGATTTCCCATTTTCAATGGGTTCAGGGTATAATTAGCAAAAATATCATAAATCCTAACCTACTTCTAATTCAAGATATCAACAGGTCTATAGAAATTTGTGAACAAACTCTAAAATGCTAAGCTGAGTTCTTAAGATCCTTTGTTGCTATTCTTCTTCTTAGCTACTTATATTTCTAAACTTATATTAAGAGTAATATTTACATTAAAAATATTGCTGAGATCCTTTGAGTTCCTATCCATTTTTTTCGGCTTCTAAGAAGTAAAAGCGCAGGCAAAAGGAGGCGTGGAGGTTCTTTGTATTTATAATAATATTTTATTCATTCAATATTTTAAAGCTCAAACTTGTTTTTTTTTTTTTCAAATTTCATATCTGTTATTATTTGTTTACGATACAGTAAAAATTCTCAAGTTTTCGCTTTAAATAATAAGAAAAGTCTTTAGTGAGTTCCCTTTGATTTCTCTTATGAACTAGGTTTTCTTGGACAATGCCTATAGATATTTTATGAACTAGTTCCGCTAGCTATCTGAACAGCTGATTTATAAGGATAAATTAATATAGCTAGTACTTTTTTTCACTTAATAAACTAGTTTAAAATGAGCTTAGACATGGAATCATTCGTTATACTTAACTTAATATCTACAAATGCTAGCGTTCAATGACTCAATTTATCCCAAACTAGTTTTTGACATAGAAACATAAGATTCTAGGTAATCAATCTACATGAATCCACAGTTCATTGAGCTAGTTCACTAAGCCATATCATTGAATGCTTGATGAAACTATATTAATCAAATCAATTGTCTCTATGGTTTACTTTGCAGTACTTTAAGCAGGAGTGCGGCGAGGATGATAAGCTGAATCTGGGGCCAATTGGTGGTCCGGCGGGCAGCTATAAAATGGGTGGCCAGGCGAGTCAGCTGGGCATGTTTGGCTCGCTGGGCCGTGTTGGCCCGAACGCATCGTTGCTGCAGAAGGCGGGCAACTCCCAGAACCCGATGCTGCTCAAGGTGAGTGCCGAAATGTTGCAAATTCCTGAATTTATAACATGATTGCTAATTGCTGTCTCTGGTTGCAGCTGTTGAACGAGAAGAGCGAAGAGGAGGATGGCAGCAGTGGCACAGGTGGTTCCGGTGGCTCCGGCGTATTGAACAATGCGCGGCAAAGCGAACTGATGCGTCAGCTGCAGAAGGATGATGGCGGCAGCCATGGCAGCGGGCATGGCATGCTCGGCGGCAGCGGCGCCGGCGGTGGCGGCAATATGAGCAACGAGGATCTCAAACGCATGCTCAAAATCCAAAGTGATCCGGCGATGAGCCGCAAGCGTTCGCTGAACGAGCCCGACGACGACATCTCGGCCAAGCGTTCCGAGGACAAGCCC